CCGCGGAGGGCCGGGGGAGCGCCCGCGGGGCAGCCCACCCAGGCACGCCTGCTGTACAACAGCTGCTGGGCGAATCTCAGCTCGGCAGCACCGGGAGCAGAAATGTGAGCACCAGGTTCAAGCAGGAGCTGGGGGGCACCAGGAAGGAACAAGGAACCACTCGGAGAGAGGAGGGAGCGAGGGTTGGTGTGCTCCACCACGGAGCAGGGAAGTGATCAGCGGATGACGTGAGAGGCTGCAGTATTTAGTGCCTTCTTCACATCCTCCTTCCCTGCAAAAGTCAGCTGGGACCAAGGGCTGGCACGACCCACGCCTGCGATGAAGGAGCACGACCGCAGCCTCGCGTAGGGAAGGAACGAGTATGGGAGATGAGATCAGCCGGGGCTGACCAGCGTGGTCCTACCGCAGCCAGCACACCGGCTGGGGGAAACACCCCAGCACCCGCGGCAAAGGCGGCGGAGAGGCAAGCAGCGCAGAGCTGCGAAAAGGCAAAGACAGAAAGGGAAAACAAGGAGGAGCCGGGGAAGACCAGGCTGAGCAGCTTAACTGCTGCTCCAGAAAACCACAGGAACACATCGGCCACCATGCAGGTATGCGCAAGCATTCAGAGGGCAAGAGCGAGGGCTCAGAGCCAACATAAAGCCGTCAGGGTCAGGTCGCACCGAATTTCAGGACAGGTGGCAGCCCCGAGGAGAGCGTGGTGGCATGCAATGGCAGAGCAGAGCTGTGCAGGACTTTTATTGCTGATGGGTGGTGGGACGGAGACTGCTACTAAACCTACGACCACAGTGAGTGGGAGGCTTCCCAGGGCCGGCTCCAGGGAAAAGGGCCGGAAAGTCACGGTGAGCCCAACACCCACCCCAAGTGTTGGAGTGCGGTCCCCAGGTAAAAGGCTCCTTCAAAGAGGGGTGAAACACCTCCGACACTTTTTAAAGGTCTCCCAAGCCTGAGTTCAGCCCAGGCCTGGGGAAGCAGGAGATACTCACAGGTGGGACAGGGAGGTGACGTCTGCGAAGATGCCCTCGGGGAGGCTGGAGATGTCATTGCCATGGAGAGACCTGCAGGGAAGAGAGGGCCCTGTGATCTCAGCGGGTCCCAGATGGGCAGCAAGGACAGTGGCAGGCTGGGGTCCTCCTACCCCATGTCTGCAACCCCTGGCACCAGCCCGGTGGGGCCGGATAGGGGTGGAGGAGCCCTGTCGCTGCTGCAAACGCACGCACTGGGGCAGGAGGCAGCAGAGCAGCGGCCGAGTGGGGCCGCGCGCAGGGAGCAGGGCTACGGGCAGGCACTTACAGCAGCCGGAGGGAGCGGAGGCCCTCGAAGGCCAGCGGAGGGATGCACTGCAGGGAGTTGTAGCTGAGGATCCTGCGGAAGGGAAGGAGGAGGCGACACAGCGTCGTGGGCACCAC